TGAAATCTGGAAGTTTAGTGACATTTTTCAAGGTTTCAGGGGAAATCGTCTTCAGCATACCATTTTTTTCTCTGAAACCTTCCAAACTGTTCCAAGAACACCTCATTCTAATGGCATTGTTTCAGGGGCACATCTGGAATCCTAAAACCTGAAACTTGTAAGATTGAATAGTGCTCCTCACATCAAGTCCTCCCTTTTTAAAAGTTATGGACAGCGGAGCGGGGCAAATTCCGAAATCGGAACCGCTCCTGGCCAATCTGCTCTGATTAACGATCGCAAACGCAACTGGAATGATAACACAGCCTTGGCGCTCGTGTGAGTAGGTGGATAAGAGCAGCTGTGGGAAGAATGAAAAGACGGGCTTGTAATAATAACAGTGTTTAAAAAGCACTATATTCTACTTAGCTTAGAACAAGGCGATAAACGATATGCTGCAGGCTCAAAAGTATTATCCACAGAGGACGCTCGAGTCTGAGAATTGGCCCGATCTCAGGAATACGGCAAGCTTGGACGGGGCTTTGGCCTCGTAGACTGCCTATGGCACTGTAAGAGGCTTGTGCGCTAGAGTAGATGTAAACCCGTTATGGTCCGCTCGCTTCTTTCTCTCCGACGGTGTGATCTTCACAGCACCAGTGCGAGATTAGTGGCTCGCAACGCTGTGGCGGACATGCTGCCACGTATACTGAGAGGGAGGCGTAGGTAGGGACAGGAGCTAAGTCTTGAGGTGGCGTGACTTTGCTCGCACTAAGATCACGAAAAACGCCGCGTATTGATCGGTGGGAAGCGGGAACTAAAGCCGCCTTAAGTCTACCAGCTGAATTAAATGGTAACAGCTCGAGATGAGTTTGGTAAAGAGTAGCAAAAAAGAGCTGCTCGGAGCTTTATTCCAGGTTTCAGGCTCCAAATTTGCTAACGAGGACCACTGGCTCTCTTTAACAAACGGCTCGGAAGTTTGTGTGTACTGTCGCCATCGCTCTTGCTCCGAAGTGAGCGTAGCAAGAGCCACGAAAGAAGGTGCGTCCGATTTGTTCATGGTAGGCAACTTGGCTTGGTTTTTTTCTGCGGCAGCTGAAAGTCCATGACTCCCCACAACGAGAGCAACCGCAGCAACTACTAGGAAAACATTGAATTGACGCATGGCTAGTTTCCATTCTCTTCGGTAAAGCAAGTGTCTGCTGAATTCATAATTAACCATCACAAGCAAACCTGCTTACTACATATGTTCACAACTGCCTATCGCAAGCAAAAGTGTTTACCCAGAATGATTTGCATTTTTAAGTGCCTCATATTTACCGGTAACGGTTTTTGATGATCACCAATTCTAAGCGAAAAGCGCACTAGCTTATTAATAATACAATACAATACAATACGAAACAATACAAACAACGTTGAAATAAAAAAACAGGTAGCAGCTAATAGCATAGTCACTGTTGCTCAAAATGATGCTCTCAATTCCTGCAGTGCATTTAGCTTTCGAGTACGGTATTACTAGGACTGGTTTACATTACACTTTTAATATTTTTATTATGTCTTAAAGGATTTAAATATAAGAAAGTAGTAGAGAGTAGAAGTAGGGAGGTGGCATAAAACAGATGATCCAGCTTTTGGAAAAAAGTGAATACATCTTGCGCCAACAGGTCTGGACTGTTCCATTTGTATCCAGATGTAGCTCACAAATGTAATGCCTATATTAGATCTTGAACAGCATTCAATTTGGTGTCGGTGTAAACCCTCGTGTTTCAGGCTGCTCATATCATCTCCTATTGACTACCAGAAACACCGAATGCAGGACTCAGAGGGATGTCATCAACCCTAGTTCTGTCTTTGTTCACACCACAGGGCGCGATTCTCCGTAGCCACGAGAAGTCACCTCACACACCGCGCACCACCGTCACTAGAACGTGTGTATGCAGTAGGCTACCAAGTAGGCCAGCAAGCTTAGCACGCAAGCAGCATGCTTCGCCGTCCATAACCGACTGAAGGCGGGAGCCACGTTTGTTGATTTTTGCCACATGGAGTCATCGCAAGAAATTTTGACAGCACATGCGTCACCTCGCAAAACTGACGCCAGGGAGGTTGTAGAGTCGTCGGGGGGGGGGGGTCTCTATCTGCATAGGCTCCACACTTGGCCTTAGTGAGAGGTGGTATTCACTATGGACTACATTCCGTAGTAGCCTTAGTAACAATAGGTCAGCACAGCACCAAGCTGCACCTTGCGCACGCACGTTAATCACAAAGTGGATATGCAAAGCCATGACGTAAGGCTGCACGCGCACCTTTGCACGCTACTAGGTAGAGCGGCCACATATTTAAATTTCACCAAGCTGGACAATCGTCCATTGTATTATAACAGTAGATCGGTACAACACCAAGCTGCACCTTGCACACGCACGTTAGTTACAAACCCGGTTATGCAGAATAATTACAAGTTGTAATTTACAACCGTGTCATAAAGCGGTACACCTCACGCCAGCACGATGCGACGATGTGTCGACTAAAAAATGGTGGTCACAGATCAAATTTCACCAAATTGGATCACTGGAGCTTAATATAGAGCAATAAGAGAGAAAGTTGTCGAAAAAAGATGTAGAGTCGAATCGTTCAACCCGTTGACATTCCTGGTGAAGCCATCCAGGTACCACGATGTCTTAGATGAAGGAAGTGTTTATCCTCCCTCCCCCTCCCCTCTACATTCGGGTTCTCCGATGTGGTTATCTCATCATCTTCATCTGTTGAATCGTCAATCCCCATGAACGCTTCAACTGTAGCTTCGACATGTTCTGGCTAGTGGGTGTCAAAGTGTTAGCCCAAAGCACCGGGCCATAAGACCTCGAGTGTTTAATCTAACCATAGTAGGAACGGCTACAAATGCATGCAGGCAGGTTTAGTCGTACCTGCGAGAGGGGATCTCGTAATGGTGCCGTTGTAGATGGTGGGAGCGTGGCAAAACAGGTACAAAAAATTAGTTAGTTCGTAAGCACTTGCTGTGTCACGAGCGTCCGGGTCTGGGTACATTTTCTTCCGTATATCGTCGCATGGGGTTGTCGTCGGAAAGCGTTTTTTGTTCATGCGAGAGAGGAGATTCGCACCTGTGCGATGGGAGGTCGAGGATCGAGGATGCTCCGGCATACACGCGCAGCACATCGTACTCCCGCACCGCCACCTCGAGAAGGTGGCTTCTGGCATTGACCACTACGTGCATTGCATGAGGTTGAGCTGAACTCGCAGCTAGACAGCTCTCCGGCTCCGTAAGCTGCGCAATGGTATCCTGCATGTTTCTAGTCATCTTTCTTAGCTTTGAGCGTATCGGTGGACGTGGAGGAACGAGTTGTCTGAGCTGAGGCTACAAACCGCTGGGATCGGTTTAAGAGGTGCTGTTGACAGTATGTTTTCGTCCACTGAGACGCCAACATCTGTGTCCTCGGCGTCATCCTCGTCGTCAGTATCGTTAAAAGCAATCTCGTAAAAAGTTAGCCCACAAGAATACCAAAGTCCATTCTCCCATCCGCTCCTTGAGCTGGCGTCATGTACCCATTGGACGGGCTTAAACTGGGAGATCGAGATTCGACTCATTTCTGGAGTGGGACATTTCCTGGCTTTGCCAAGCTGAACAAAAGGTCTACCAAAGATGTAAAGACCATGGTCGCATTGCCCAACGCAGCTCCTACTGAGGGGATAGTCGCGCCGTGACCGATCACCTGAACCGGTAATGTTGGGTCATTGGTTGAAGGTGTCGAGACATCCTGTGGTCGCTGTGTCTTTCGAGCAGCAATAGAAGGGTGAAAAGTATTAATACTGAAAAGTACAAACACTGGTCTTGGAAAACGATCGAAGCAATATTCATCAACGCGGTGGTGTCATTCACCATGAGGGGGCACATGTTGATGACAGGAACCGCATCATACTGTCGCCAGACATGAGCGCTTCGACTGGAAACGTTGGGGTGATTAACGGTATGAGTCCTATCTTCGAGATGAAGTCGTACATATCGCCGTCGTCAAGGTCAGGGGGCACGTTGTTCAAGTCCACATAGAACATCCGATCGAACGCACTAGCAATCTTAACGGTGAAGTCCGTTCCGAAAATGCGGGCCGCAGAGCCGGCTAGCTTGGCATCAACGCTTCGGAACGCGTACGTAGAGTGAATACCGCGTCCAGGCATGCGAATAAAGCTGCACAGTGATGACAAGGCTGCGGACCAGGTAGCCGTCTGGGGTTCCTTGGTAATCGCGGTCATAATGCCATCAATACGTGCGATTTCGTGAGCTGTCCTGCAGGAATAAACAGCTTGAGCTTCTCTTTCGTCGGTACACAAGCACGTTCTACTTCACACAAGGCTACTAGGCGGAGATCCGCAGCGTTGCCGGCGCTCGCTAAGGCTTCGTCCAGTGTCATTAGTACGAATCGGGTGGCTAAACGGTCGCTGGTGCGACCCAACATCCGTAGGGTTCTGGTGTTCGATTCGCGGTTGTGCCACGTAACGCACGACGCAGGATATACGTGGAAAAGCGATTATCAGGTGTCGACAAGCTCGTAGAACTAGGGGGGGGGGGGTCGGGAGATGTCGAGTTGAGAGGGTGTAGAGGCCTGTAGGCAAAAAAAGTTAGTCACAAAAACAGCCCCTTGCCCTGTGTGATATCACTTAAGGGGTCGGCAATATATTCGACTAAGACTGATGATGACATCATAGAGAGCTTTAGCTGTTGGAATAGTGTAGCCTTTGGAACATCGATATTCTGGATAAAGTCCGAAGAGATGACGGATAAATTACCGATGGCTGTTCCAAAACATAGTTTTCAGTGGAAGAACGAAGGGTCGAGTAGACGGTGCTTCCGAATAGAGCAAACAGTATTTGTAAGTGAAAACAAAATAATTTGATTTTGATTTTCTGTTGTGTTTATGAAAAGATTTACTCGCAGTTCATGCAGATGCTCTTTTCATCCAATCAGATACGCTTTATGTGGCACGCTCGGAGCTGCATTATTGCTTGGAATCGGGACTATGGAGCACGACGTACCCGCCGCAACCGACGCTTTTGTCACGGCTGCCGGCGAACCGAACGAACGAATGCAAGCACCAGACACTTCGTTGGCAGGTACCCCTGTCGACAGCGGCATTTCTGCTGCTCAGGTGGAGATTGACACGGAACACGAGATGGTAACTGATGCTGAGCAACAATTGGATGGCGACGCGTCCCAGCAGCCTGTTGAGGCGGAAGACGCAAAAGAAAAAGAAGATCCTACTTCAGACGAAGATAACGTGGCTGCTGCTGGCCTTCAGGAGCAAAACGACGTGGTCATGGCAGAGCCAACGGCTTCGGCTGCTGCGCAACAAGTGGACGATGTTTCTGAGGAGAAGGATACCGTAATTGTAGGAAATGAGGACGCTGCGACCATTACGGCGCAAGAAGCAGACCTGGCTGGAGCGTCTAAATCGAATGATGAAGCAGGCAAGAAGGAAATGCCAGTGGCGGATATTAAGGCTCCCCCAGCTCAAGATTCTGCCTCTTTAAATGAAGCGGACACTGCTTCAAATGACGAGCAACACACCAACAAGAATGCGGATGTAATGAGCGCAGAAGACGACGGCGCATCATCCCCACCACCACACGATGAGAGTGAATACGATCCGTCTGCTCCTTCCCTGATAGTAGACCCTGTTCCTCATGGCGAAGACGAGTACGATCCAGCCAACCCGTCTCCTGCTGGAACACCAGTCGCAAGTAATGCAGCATCAGGAATTGCATCGTACCGGCCAGCCAATGAACAGGAAGAGTACGACCCAGATCATCCGTCCATGACTTCCGCAGCTGAGGAACCTGCTGCAATGGAAGTGGACCATTTGTCGACTAACTCGAATGATAACGAGCAGTCTAGTGCGACTCCAGCAAAGAGAAAAGCTGACGACGAGTCTCGTCCCTCCCACGTATCAGCCAATGGAGATAACGATCCCAAGCGACCGAGACACGTTGATGACAGCAAGAGCCGCTCTCACGACGACCACAGACACGGTCGTCCGCGTCGTGGAAGCAGCGATTCAGTTTCGTCTTCTAGCAGCAGACACAAGCACGAGGAAGACCACAAGGGACTCTCAGCAGCTGCGTGGGACCGCCTCATGGACTTCCAGACTAGCGGCGAGTTTCGCGTCACTCAAGTGAGTCGCGCAGCCTTCGCATCTGTCGGTGCCATGCCCGAGTTTGCCCAGATTGCTATCATCGCTCGCTTCGTACGCACACCCATGAAGGAAATACGCGACAAGAACGGACAGCTCATGCGGATCTATCGCGAATATCAGAAGGAAAACCCGCAGATCGCAGCTCTGCAACCTGCGGACGCCTTCGTGTCGGACTACAAGAGTGACCCAGGCCTCTTCCGCTTCGGCTATGCTCCTCCACAACCTGCGACGGGCATGTCTAACGTTCAAGTACCCTATCAACGCAATCAAGTTCAAGAAGATACACCCGCCAAGAACTCCCCTCGTCCAGAACGAACACCCACGTCACGATCGGAGTCTGAACGGCATCAGAAACCTGTGGACGAGTTTGGACGTGCTGTTAGCTCAGACAATCCACTAGCTCCAGCGACAAACGGGGCGTCGCGGTCAACCCAGAGACCCGCAGCAGACCCTCGTCTAGCGTCGCGAAGCCGTCAAGGTCCCGCATCTCCAACGCTTCAGCCGATGCCTCGCGCCACGTCAGGAGCAAGAGCTGAAGACCCGCGTCGTCGTGACCAGCCTCCACAAAGCTCTAATGCTGGACGTGATCCTCGTCGTCGAGCTTTGGTGACGAACCAGCCGTCACCACGTGGGAACCAACCGAACGCTCCTCAATCCGCGGCATCGAATGACTTGTATGAGCGTCTACCAGCTCCAGTGAAAGCTGTAGTGGACAGCATGCGTCGCGAAGGAAGACTACATGAACCGCTCAATGATAACGTGATCACCCGGTTGCTGCATCTACCCGAACGTGTAGCTCTGCAAGCTGTCGAGAATTTCAGCAATGTGGATCTGTCACAAGTGGAGAACTTGCAAGGCTTCCTGGTGGGGATCATCAACCGAGTCAATGAGAAGGCCATTGCCTCAGAGAAGCAACACCGACCGCAAGTGCCTTCTCCTCGAGGACAGCCTCCTTCTTCCATGTCTCGGGGCTATGGAGCTCCACCACAAGGTAGCTCTGTCCTTGGTGGGCCACCGCAAGGTGGGCGTTTAAACAACAATAACGGCGCTAATACTGCTGGTTACCGTGGTCAACCAGCACCAGGACCTGGTCCAGCATTGTATGAGCGACCGTACGAGGCTCCACAGGAGCCCCGAGACCCACGACGTCGACAGCCAGCACCCCAGGGACCAACGCAATATGGCGGAGCCGGTCGAGGACCGTCTCCGGTTGGTGGACATGCTCCTATTGGCATGCCGTCGTTCACTGCGCTTCCGATGTCGGTGCAGAACCACGTGCACTCGTTAGTGGCTAATCATACGCTGTCGTCACTGGAAGAGCTTGGTGGCAAGTGCTACGAGGTGCTGGGACAGCTCTCCGAGCCCTTGGCGAACCAAGTTCTCACTCGGTTCGCTGGTGCCAACCTCTCCAACGTTCGCAACAAGAGCGGATTCCTCATTGGTGTCGTCAAAAGAGCTCGTCAAGAGTACGGCTTTAACTAAATAGTGGCTAGGAAAAGTCGAGACACGGTGTGATGCTTTCGTTTGTGTGTGTGTTCTAGTGACCATTTCAACAAAAGTACGTACGTGTATAAGTTGCAAAGATAGAGGAAGCTCTTTTGTCTACGTCCAGGTGTCTACGGAGCCATACGAGGCACGAAAGCAGGCAAGCCAGTGATGGCACGTCCGAGGATGAGTGCGTGCACGTCGTGGGTGCCCTCGTACGTGTTGACAGCCTCCAGGTTGACGACGTGGCGGATGATGTGGTATTCGTCCGACACGCCGTTGCCGCCGAGCATGTCACGAGCGTTGCGAGCGATCTCGATTGCCTTCCCACACGAATTGCGCTTGACCATGGAGATCAACTCGACTGGCGCCTTGCCCTCATCAAGCAGACGTCCAACTTGCAGACAACCCTGAAGACCGATCGCGATCTCCGTGTTCATGTCAGCCAGTTTCTTCTGGATAAGCTGGTTGCTGTTGACAAATATACAGACGCATATTGTCAGAACTGCACTAATTGACCAGCATGAATCGATTGATTGCACGTACGCTGCGAGTGGAGCACCGAACTGGTTGCGGTCAAGAGTGTACTGACGAGCGATGTCCATGCATGCGTCTGAGTTGAGAAAAGCAAAGTGTTAGGGGGAGCAACAACACGTCTCTGTATTTAAGGCTCGTACATGCTGCTCCGAGGGCACCCCAAGAAATTCCGTAGCGAGCACTGTTCAAGCACGTGAAAGGCCCCTGATACACGTCACCAGAGTTAGTTCGCATGACGGATATATGGTGTTAGAAAGGCTCGCTGTGTTACCTTCAGGCCCTTCACCTTGGGCAACATGTTCTCCTTGGGAACTTCGACGTCTTCCAGGAAGATCATACCAGTAGCAGATGCCAACAACGTCGCCTTGCCTTCGATGTAGGGAGCTGATAGGCCAGGGAAGTCCTGTAGATGCAGGTGAAGTTACGTGAGTCAACTGCAAGTGACAAGTGAAGAGTAAGTAAACCCACCTTCTCCAGAATGAAACCACGGATGTCGCCCTCGTCGTCCTTGGCCCAGACGAGGAACACGTCAGCGATCGGAGCGTTGGTGATCCAGTTCTTGGAGCCGTTGAGGATGTACTTGTCTCCTTTGAGTCTAGCACGCGTCTCCATTCTTTAAAAGAAGATAAAACACAATCAGTTAAGAGACACAAACTCAGCGGTCTTCAGTCATGAACTACTCACGATCCAGGGTCTGATCCGTGGTTCGGCTCCGTCAAGCCGAAGCAGCCAATGAGTTCGCCAGTGGCAAGACGAGGGAGGTACTGCAACGATACAAGCACGCGTGAGGTACAATCCTTTATAGAAACTCATGATCTACCACATACCTTTTCCTTCTGCTCGTCAGATCCGAATTGGTTAATTGGGTGCATTACCAGAGACGACTGCACACTCATCGCCGACCTGTAGGCGCTGTCAACCTGCCACACAGCAAACACGACTAAGCAATTTATGCAAAGCACAGCAATGCCAAAGCTACGTACACGCTCCACTGCGTTCGCAATGAGTCCATAGGACACGTAGCCCACACCGGCGCAGCCGTAGCCCTGGACCGTGGGACCAAGGAAGCCCATTTCGCCCATTTCCTTCATAATGGAGCGGTCAAACTTGCCCTTACGGTTCGCTTCTACAATGCGCGGCAGCAGTTTGCCCTGGCAGTAGTCGTTGGCCGATTTCTGCGGAGAAAAGGCCATAAAGTCAGTCTCAAACGCGTTTAATGACCGTAGCTAAGACCGGCCAGACGCACTTGAATCATGGCCTCCTCGTCCGTCAGCTGGCCATCCAGCATAAGCGGATCACGCCAATTAAAGGCAGCACGGCCTCCAGCCATGCCACGTGACGCTACGAGCAAGCGACGTCCAACACCGGAAAGAGAGAGAGACTTAGCGGCCAACATTGCGAAAAGAAGTTGCGTCTACTTTGAAAATCGGGATATGACGCGGTCTGGTTTTGGTCACGTGAAGTGGATGCTGATTGGTTCGTCCTATATCGTGATTGGAAGTTTGTATGTGAAAATGATGTGCTAAACACGAACTTGAAGATTTGAGCGCTGAAAAGGTCCAGCAATAACGCACTTCAAGTTGGCTACCGGTAATCTCCTCTGACCAAGTGATATATTGTAAAAATATAAAGATAGGTAGGTTTAACAGAGAATTATCAACGACTCAGTTCTGACGCACTCGTTTCATCCTATCTTAATTTCTTCGCAAGTATTCCACTTCGTTAGCCTGCTCCAGTCCAGTCCATGCTTAAATCTTGACGGCCTTCCCACTCACGTTTCAACACGCAGACATAGTTTCCTTCGTAATTTTCTGAGAGCTCTCACACAATACGCAACTTCATCGATTTCTTTCGCTTCAGGAGCATCAGTGACTTTACGTCTGAGTAACAGTGGCATTGAGGTTTGCTTCCATTGGTAGACCTTCTCACCCAATTCAAAAATCAATCGACTTTAGTCGTTGTGGATTATGTCGCGGGCCTCCTCTTCATCGCGAAAAATGTGGTATAGGATCTTTCCGTCAACCAGCAAGAACACAATCCAGCCAACGACTGCGCCAGCAATGGCCCCAATACCAACTCGCATTACCGGGGCCGTCCAAAAGTTTATTGCGGTGGCGGCGGCAGCAGCAGCGGATTTTTGGCTACCCTCCTGTCCAAACCGGCACCCATGACAGGAGCGGCAATGCCGCCAATTGCGAGGACAACAACTGACCCCAGACCAAGCACGCCGATGCTTTGCAAACACGCCACGAAACCTCCAGCAGGGACCCCTCCACTGTTTGCGATGGCGCTCATGGACATTATCTTTGCAGCGATGGAGCCGCTCGCAATACCACTCGACGTGAAGCCAATGAGACCGGGGATTACAGCGACTGCTGACGATACTGATAGCCAAATTCCAGACCCGACTGCTACTTTAACCTTAACGGCAGGAACTGCCGCCGAGGTAGCCACAGCAGCGCAACAGAAATAAGCAGCTGCGGAACTAATGGCAGCACCAACACCAACGTTTATAACTTTGGTAAATGCCTTCTTGTTTGCATTGGTATCGGGTTTTGTGGAAGCCTGAGCGGGCTGTGGCACATTCTTGTCTGACTTCGCAGCACAAACAGTAGCTACAATCCCAATTCCAGAAGTAGCTTCAACTTCCCCACATCACATTGTTTTGATTATGATCCAATCAGCGTCCAAAAATTATTGATCACGTCCCATTGGTCAATATCCCTTTCATCGCCCCCTTGCCAAGCTCGCAGAGCTGCACACGTGGGTAATCCCAGCTAAAGCTCTTCGCTGCACCCCTCTCGTTGACGGCACCTCGACCCCCTGCAGAGCTACGGCAACTGTGTTTGCACCTCTCTGCTTTCTACACGCTGGTTCTTCGCCCCCCCCCACTTTTCCAGTAGAATCCGAGAGATCTCGTAAACCATGAGTCAGAAGTTGCGCGACTTGATCCGCGGCGTGCGCGCCTGCAAGACTGCGGCCGAGGAGCGTGCCGTGATCGCGAAGGAGAGCGCACTGATCCGCACAAAGTTTAAGGACCAGGACAAGCAGTATCGCCACCGCAACGTGGCCAAACTGCTCTTCATCCACATGCTGGGCTATCCGTCGCATTTCGGTCAAATGGAGTGCGTTAAGCTCATCGCCAGCCCCTACTTCGCCGAGAAACGTATGGGCTACTTGGGTCTAATTCTACTGCTCACAGACCAGGAGGATGTGCTCACACTCGTCACGAATTCCGTCAAAAAGTAGGTACTTCGATTGTCATTATTGTGAAATTTGGACTAAATTGTGTTTTTTTTTTTGCTATGATTTAGTGATTTGAACAACCAAACCCACTTCACTGTGGCACTGGCACTCACGGCAGTTGGCAACATTGCTTCGGTACGTCTCTTTAAGGTTCCAGAGCGAGAAAGGAGGCCAAAAAGCTCATCATTAAATCATATTGCAGGCAGATATGGCGCGTGACTTGGTGATGGATGTGGATCGTCATCTACGCAGCGACAACGAGCATCTGCGCAAGAAGGCGGCGTTGGCAGCTGTTCGGGTGTTTACAAAGGTGCCAGATCTAGTGGAAGACTTCACAGAATCGATCCTTGGACTTCTGCGCTCCAAGCACCACGGCGTTTTACTTGCAGGTGTCCAGCTGATCACTGAGGTTGTCATTCTGGATGCAGAGAACTTGAAGACGTTCAGTAGTCTCGTCCCCAAGCTCGTTAAGCAGCTACGCAACTTGCTATCCATGGGATACTCGAGCGAGTACGACGTCAGTGGCATAGCCGACCCGTTCTTGCAAGTGGCAATTCTGAAGCTGCTGCGTCTATTGGGTAAGGACAACGAGGAAGCGAGTGAAGCCATGAACGATGTGCTGGCACAAGTGGCTACAAACACAGAGACAGCCAAGACAGCGGGCAACGCCATTCTGTACGAATGTGTGCAGACGATTATGACGATCGAGAGCGACAGTGGACTTCGCGTGCTTGCGATAAACATTCTGGGGCGATTCCTGCTCAATCGCGACAATAACATCCGCTACGTGGCACTTAACACGTTGTCCAAGGTCGTCACGGACGATATTGCGGCGGTGCAGCGTCATACCAACACTATCGTGGACTGTCTGAAAGACCCAGACACTTCTATCCGTCAGCGTGCACTCGAGCTGATCTATTCACTTGTGAACTCCTCCAATATCCAAACGGTGAGTTCTTAACTGAAATGTGCAGTTATGGTATCATTTTCTAACTCTATTGCTTGTTATGATCTTTACAGCTCGCTCGTGAGATGCTCAACTACCTTGTCATCGCTCCAAATGATCAGAAGCCTGAGCTGTGCTCCCGTATTGCTGGTAACTTTTCGGTTTCTCGCGTTTTCGGTGTTGGTGGATAGTTTCTTAGCGTGTTATTTGTTGCTGTTAGATGCTGTGGACCGCTACGCGCCGTCGAGTCGGTGGCACATTGATACGTTGATCACGATGTTGTCGATTGCAGGTTCGACGCTGCCGGACGAGCGGATATGCAGCTCGCTTATCACGCTTATCCAGCGCAACACTGACCTGCACCCTTACGTGGTCCACAAACTGTTCTGGGCACTTCACGACGATGTGTCGCAGCTCTCGCTTGTCCACGTGGGTATCTGGTGTGTCGGAGAGTACAGCAAGTTCCTTTTGCTAGACGCGCCACCGTCCGAAGAGACCTTGAGCGACAAGAGTCGTGTGGACGAGAGCAGCATTGTGGAGCTCTTCACGACGATCCTACGTCACCATGGAGCCACTGACATCACGCGCGCGTACTCGTTGAACGCTATGGTGAAGCTGACGACGCGTTTCAGCTCTCCGTCGGAGATTGCCAAGCTCAATTTTATGATCTCTTCTTTCAACACGTCCATGGTGCTGGAGCTTCAGCAACGCGCCACAGAGTACACCACTCTGGGCCAGCCGCAGTGGTCTTCTCTACGCAATGACGTACTGGTTAATATGCCTGCGATCGATGCGTCCAAGGTGCGCAGTCGCAATGACAACCTTACGTCATCGGCTGTGGGTTCTGCTGATCTCCTCGGCGACGACAATACCAGCGCAAACGCCACTGCTGCCGCTGCTCCGAAGCCTGCGCAGACAAAGTCGAGTGCGAGTGCCAGTCTACTAGACCTGGACGACATCTTTGGCGGAGGCGCATCGACGTCAAGTGCCGGCACGTCGATGTCAGCTTCGTCTTCGGCTCCTGCTGTACCTGCTGTGGACTTGCTAGCAGATATTTTCTCAAGCGGCCCGAGTGCGCCAGCTCCTGCAGCTTCGTTCGGGTCAAACAACGGTGGGTCGGCTGCTCCGGGTGCCGACGACTTGCTAGGATTAATGGACTTTGGTGCTCCTGCAGCAGCCGCTCCTCCCGCAGCGAACCCTCCAGTGCGTGCGTACGACAAGAACGGATTGACTGTGGACTTGGAGATCACAAAGCCCAATCCGGACGACAAGTCCGTGACGTACATCACGGCGACGACGCGAAACTCGACGGCCCAGGCGATCGAGAAGTTCGTGTTCCTGGCTGCGTTCCCAAAGTACATCAAACTGAAGATGGAGCCTCCAACTGGCGACTCTGTGCCCGCGAACAACAGCGGCGTAGTGACTCAAGTCGTCAAGATCCAGAACAGCATGCAGGGCGAGGTGAGTGTTCGCTGTGGACTGGACTATTTCGTTGTGTGTGAGAAGCTAATTATGCGTGCTTGACGTTGCTGTAGAAACCTGTGCTCATGAGGATCAAGCTGGAATTCTTGGTAAATGGCAGCAAGGTGGAGGACATGGCGACAGTCAACAACTTCCCGTCCAACATTTAACCAGTCAAGTAGAGACCAAGTAGGCATTCGGTCTGGCTACAGCTGTGGGATGTGGGGTCAAAGTCTGACCAAGACCAACAAAGAATATAGCCGTGCTTGTTTTTCGTGTTGATCGTCGGCTACCAACGCACCTTTACGCGCGTCGCTTGAGTGTAGTGAGACGGAATTGCCAGTAGGCCTTCCTCACACAATCTGTGTCGTTCATGAGCGTCTCCACTAGCTTGTAGGCCGCTTCAACCGCCTCGTCTGTGCCTTCCTTCGCGTAAAAGTCCACTAGCAAAGCCGCTGCGAAGATGCAATCCGGTGTGGCTGTCAGTATCTCTTGTATCTTCGTCTTCACCTGCGCAGCAAACGCAGCTTCATGGCCACGGACGAGACCGCGGAGATAGTTCCACGGACTCTCGTTGTGCACTGCGATGGAGATTTTGTCCAGTGCATAGTCGATTTCTCGCTGACGATCCGCTGTAGTTGCAAGTCCCGACGAGTTGTTCAACACGAACCAGCGGTGATTCCACGCCGAGTTGTTGCGCACGTCCTCGAGCAACATTTTGTCCACGAACTGGAGCTCTCCGTCCCAGAGGCCGAAGGTCTTGACAACCCACTGACGGTGTGCCCAGGCGTGGTAGTTCTTGGAGTCTCCGTCGATAGCCAAAGCGCAGAACTCCTTCTCTTCGCTGGCGTCATGCAGCATGGTGCAGATCTCGCGGCGGTGGTGCCAGATCTGGTAGTTCTTAGGGTGCTGGATGGCCATATCGGCGGTGAACTGCAGCTCCTCGCGCAGATCCGAGCCTAGAGCCTCCAAGACACGTCGACGGAAGTACCAGACGGTGTAGTTGGCTGGATTAGCGTCGATCACGTCCAGGGTCAGCGCCAGTGTACGCTCGCTGCACTCGTTTAGCTTGAGCACACCTCGGAAACAGTCCATTACATCTGTGACTATAGCAACATGGAGAGAGTTAGGGGAGAAAGGAGCAAGCAAGATACACGTACAGTTGGCGGAGTAGGCGATGCTCACGATCGGGTTCGGGCCGTCATCCTGCGGCACCTTGACCACGTCGGCCCATGCAGGGTCCTCGCTGTACTTCATGGCGTTTTTCGGAAATGACTTGGCGCAACATAATTTCATCTAAAAGCAACTTAAATAGAACATCACATCATGTTGCTGAAATTTCACTAGCTGAGCCTACAATTTGGTGCCCTTCGCTTTGATGCAAATGGGAGGATACAGCTAGTTGCCTAGCACCTACGCTGCCTTTCCCTTGAGTACGGCGCGCATATCCTCAGCCGTCTGCTTGGCGATATCTTGTGAGCGCATCATGAATCGGTCCGAGACCCAGCAAACCAGGAAGTAGATGAGACCGAAAGGGATCTGCTCGGCTAGCAAGTCTCCTGCCTGGCGCGGGAGCTCCATGAAACGCGACGAGTAGCTAGCCAAATACCAGAAGCCTTGCAGTAGCGAGAACGCGAATGCCACTTTGAAGGCCAACAGCGGGTTAAACCATCGCCGAATGAAGAGCACCGTGCTGGCCCCGATGAGCACTGATAACGCCTCAAAACCCACGACGAAGCTGATACCGCGTGGACTGCGACGCATGCGCTGCACCTCCATGTAGCTCATGAGCGCTACAAGACCCGCCATCTTGCTCAGGAAGGACACCCACAAGTCATTGAAGTACACCGTCTTGGCGTAGTGCTGCAGGACCTTCTGGTTAGCGGCCTCCTCTGCCGATAACTTTACTGCCTCCTGCTTGATACGCTCGGCACGCTGACCAGCGCTTGTCTTGATTGCCGCCATATCCGTCAAAATTATTGTGTGAAACATTGTCATTATAACAAAATTGTCGCAGATTGCTTTTATTTTACCGGTATCAAGACGTTTTATTTTCGGGATGATCGGCGTCATATTTTATTTTTCCTGCATTTGAGCCTTTTATTTTTCCTACAAAAAACACACTGGATAAATTACAAAATCGAGCCTTCAGTATTCAATCGCGGCTACTTCACTTATTTCGTAAGCAGTGTTTCCTTGGAGTTCCCCTCTGACTAGGGCTACGCGAGGCATGCCTGAGTCACCACTTACCAGTAAAACTAAGTGTGTACATATTACCGTACCTCACAAAAAAAGATTTTAGAAATTCTGAACTCCAGTCATCTTAACGTTAAACATCCCCATTGTCGATGATACTGTTCTTTTTGTGTGAAACGTTGAAACACTCCCATTGTTATCTTTTGGCACTCGTTACATCCACCAACTATTTCGACATAAAATGGACAAATCTCAAAAACACATGTGAGCTTAGGGTTAGAAGATACCGGTATCAATGTCGGTATGAATCTCTACGAGTTGGCCCAGACCAACTATAAACCAATTTAAGTCTAGTACATAGGTGACACATAGATGTTATTTTTTTTCAACAATGTCAATGCGTTGTATTCGCTGTGTCGGAATTCCCAACGTTATATTGAGCACTGATACACGCAAAAGAAGAAGAAGAAAAAGAAGGACAATAATAATAAGAAAAAAGGTGGGGCAGGTGCTTTAATATATACAAAGCCATTATTTATATAAAGAAGGCATTCGAAAGTAGAATAAATCCATTTTTTAGTAGTTACTTCGAAATATTCTTGGTTTGCATCCCGAAGAGTACATAGCAGAAGATCTTGTAGCGAATTCTCTCCAGTTCGTTCTCTGATAACGGTTCCGTATCAGTAGATACGGTCGTATCTGGTGACAATATGTAGGTAGACATAGTAGTCGAACCAGTGAGCCACATACACGCCACAGCTAAATCCATCTTGTTGAATCCAAGCGCGAAATTCCCGAATCTCCAATTTGTAGGCCGGGTCGACTAGTTCCAAAAATACGTTTACCACCTTCCTTTTCACCTCATCTTCATGTTTCTTCTTGTGAAGTGGGTCGTAGATCCACATCACGCGTCTCTTAATATCAATTATAACTCCACACCAATGTCCGTAGTCGATATTAATGTAGATTGGACACAACATCGCTAACCATCGTGACATTTGCTGAAAATATGGTTCTTTGTGTCTAGGAGTCGATTGCGCTGGTCATCATCCTCGAAATACGAAAACGTCGGGCTGATTACATGAATATTCGGAGGGGGATTCCACGATGCCTCTGCTGCAATTCGTTGCGTTGCGCTCATCAGACACTGGTCACTGAGCCATCCGTCGTCGCCAAATCTAGCAAGCTCGGCAAATTCCACGGACACTCCACCAGAATTATTAGACCCGTGTAGATTTAACTCTAAAACAGTCTCCACAATAGCATTTCTCTCTTCCTCATCATCAGGATTCTCAATCTTCACACTTTTAATCCATGATACCAGCGCCTTTGCTCCTCGAACAACGGATGCCATGGAATGCCATTGCTGCATATGAGCAATATCAGTTGCCCGAAACGTCCCCACCTTCAAAATCACCACGGCAACATCGTCATGGGAGACATCCCTCCCATTGTTTGCTTTCTCGCGGAGTATCACGTTTTCAGTTGCAGAGATACACTTCTTAACCAGCGCAACTACAATTAACAGTTAATATATGTTAGTTTCAATTCACACAATAGTTGGTATCGAGTCGTTGGTAATTGGTGCAGGATTGGTGTTTGGTACACGGAGTAATCATATCCCAACTGCTTACCAATTATACCAATTTTGAACCAATTATACCAACTCAAGCACAAGATAGCAAACTTACCAGGCAGAATACCACGGGAGTTTAGTTTCACATGCGTCACTTGACAAATCGGTGAGCAGCTTCGCCTTGGGACGCTTGAAAACCGCATCTGCATGCATTAGTTGAAGACCACTAAACACGTCTTCAATCTCAGACAGCGTAATTGCCTCGTGCAGCGCAAGCTCGGCAAACTTGGCGAGCGTCACATCCCCGATTGTAGTTAGGCGGCCGGCTAGTTCTTGGCTCTCTTTGTACTCTTTCTTCCGTTTAGATTTCTTTACCGCCTGCTGCAACCGTGGCCGTCCAGACGGACGACTAGCTTCGTTCAAGTTAACCGCGGGCAGAGGTAACTCTGCCACGTTCTCGTTCGTAGTCGGCGCGTAATTCTCCTTGTCAGATACTCCATTGTCGTTGGTCACACTCTCCATATCGAGACGGCGTCTAGTTGTACTCACTTCGACAGAACCGTCATTAATCATGTTGCTTTCTCCACAATTATCATCCGCACCAACCGGTACGGGGTTTCCATTATCTCTAGCGTTCCGCTCGAGGCACTCAAGATGCGAAAGCCATCGACTTTAGTCTGTCGTCCCTTTGTCAGCAACGACTTCTGCGATCCGTTGGCAGACGGCAAATGCGTTCTTGTACTTGGCATTGTGTGAAATCACTTTTGATGACTTCACCCCAGGCACGTCTGCAATCGCAAACCTAGACACCTCCACTGGGCGCAGATTAGCATCCTCAGCTTCTTCAAGCAAGCACCATCGTGGCGGGATATTTTCGCAGGGAATAGCCGTAGATTTTGACTGCTGAAGCCGCAGAAATATAATATGGCGACACGGTAACATTTGAGTCTGGTTGAAGACGCAAGTGCACGTGTTTGTATCCACGTTCACCTGCAGAATTTGAATATCCAGAATAAAGGGAGGCAAATTAAAAAGAAATAAATCAATAAACAACATACCGCGTAGTCTTGCTGAGTTACTTTGCTTCTGAGAGTTTGAAACGTTGACGTCAGTCCATCTGCTACCACTGCATCTGCTACCACTGTGTATTCTGCCTTTTGACAAGCCTTGTACTGCTCCTCCACGAGAGTACAGGCATGGTGAGTGGCTATACGAGCTAGCATCTTCATTTCTCGGTCGTAGCCATGATTTACACGGTGACCGATCCGTGTAGTCTTGAACTTGTAAGAGTCTTCAGCTGCCTGCTGTAAAAATAAAAGTGTTTCAATACATTCATCCATTGGCATGTGTCTCGACAATACGTCCTTGGCAGCACCCCAGGTAGCCTCAAGCCTATTGTTGGTGTTATTATCGAGATGTGGCAGCTCACCTCGACGGAATGTACACCATCGATCTTTGCACGAAAGCCAGTTGGTCTCCAAATACTCCACAAATGCCAACTTCCCACGACATAACTCCTTCAGAGCATTCAGGTAGTGATCAAATAGCTCCTCAGTTGTAGCTCGAGCCATAATCGTACTAAAGTTCTTGAGGTGAAGCCTCGAGTGTGGATAGCTCGGTAAAATCCTTGTCAATAACTATGACTTGGATTTCCTTCCAGCATTCGTTGTTGATCTAGAGCGTCGAAATTGCGTTTTTCATGTTCTGTTCAGTTTCACCATCAATCAGTGAATGCTGCGCAAACGCTCCACCGAATTTGTCCGTCACCATGAAGCTAAAAAGCCGATACCTAGAAAGGAATAGTTGAGAATGGTTAGAAAGATATGATAATATAAGATAAATAAACATGATTGGTAAGTAATTGGTATAGTAGATGGTATAGTAATTGGTAGCGCAATTGGGTATCCAATTATTTCCCAACTATACCAACAGAGTCACCAACCAAACCAATTACGTCATTCTGCTCACCTGTTGATGTTCGTGCCATGAGTAGCATCAATGCAGACCACCTCAGGGAACAGACGCGCCATGCGTCTCATATGACTCGTCTGGAAGGCAATACAGGTCGTTAACTGAGAGTCCGTGTCTCGGTACACCCTCACCACGCTACCGGGGCCCTCGCTGAAGTCCTGTAGTAGCTCCGTAACGCGAATGTTGGCGTCAGGCGAAGTGTAGGACTCACGTCTCATCTCCGCGATCATGTTGTTTACATCTTGCGTTTGAATCGGCTTTCCAGATACATCTTTTAGGTATCGGAGGATTTTTTTTCTCTTGGCTCCACTTCATAAAAACAAACTTAGTGATACGTAAATAATAAAACAATTTCCTGGTTGCTTGCGGCGTACCTTGCCACATTGTCCGAACGACACTTCGAGTAGCAGGTGACGTGATCTTCCGCGTCGCTGCGTATGTGTTGAACACGTTCTTGCCGATGGCGTGGTTGTGTGTGGAATCGTGCAGCTTCACGCGCACGCGAAAAGAACCATCGTCGTCGACGGACAACAAAGCATTCAGCTTCGCAGGACATTGAATTCGACGTGTTGTGTGATTCGTACGCTTCCCCTGCCCTTTAGGCTTGAATTTACCTCCGTGAGTGCATGTCCGTCCCTTCGTGTAGTACAGAAGTGCTTCATCCCATAACTTTGGCTGCGTTTCACGAGCCTCCGCTTGCCGAGCACGAGTTCGATTGCGATCTCTAATTGAGTTGCTCGTCCGCAGTTTGTAGACTTGGAATGTATCGCGCTGGTAGCTAGGAACAAAACAAAATTATTAATTAAAACGATATTGATAAAAAAATTAATTGCAAATAATTGTACATACCCGCTGAATGCCGCCTCCATATCATCCCACGAGTCGAATACCTCAGCGGAGGGCTCACACATCACACGAACTTCGGCTTGATCAGCGTCGTCTGGATCGCGGGAGTTTCCGTCAACTGGCGGGATGGCATCAGCGTCGGTGACGCTCCTCTTCGTCTTTTTTGCTGGCCGATGCGTGCTGGCCCCTGGTGACTCTACGCCGCTGCCCCCCGATGTTATCTCATCCCTTCCCTCAGCAAGCTTCTTGTCATGCGCCGTGTCTCCCTCGCTGCTGCGCTCGCCTCCTTGCGTTGGCGCGCGCTTGACCTTCTTCGCGTCCTCCATTTAAGCGAACGGGGGATAAGAAATGAGCGGACAGGAACGGTTTGAAATGT